TTCATTTGGGGTTTGTGGCCCTACCCAGTGATCAGGGCTGGGAACAAAAGCTCTCTGAGGAGGGGACATGGAAGACAGAGTAGCTAAAGTAACTAGTGATTTATCCACAGGAGGGGAGAGGGAGAGGGTAGGCACTATGCCCTGCCCCACAAGTCCCCGAGAGTTTATCTGTCTCCCTGCCACAGGACTTCATTCATTCCTCAGAGTTTGTTTGGCCTTTCCACCTTAGCCTACACCCTACACCTTATCCCAAGGTTCCCAAAGAGGAAATCAAACCAGGAGCCAGCTTTGTCACTGCACTGAGAATTTTAATGAGAAGCTGATTTCTAATGTTGGCCAGTCAGCCACCATGAGGGCTAGAGATGGACACACAGGCCATTGGGAATTCTTACGGGGGCCCAGCCTTGCTTCTTTGCCTTCAGAGGCGTGCTGATTTTCCTTCTTTGCCACTGGGCGAAGGGCAACGAGAGGCCTGAAGCTGGGTGGGAACTGAGGGACTCCCTGTGGCAAAGGCAGGGCCTAAATCACTCTTTGAGGCTTCAAGTAGGGCAAAAGCTGTTCCCACTGCTGCTTGGTGGTAGAATCGATGCCCTCCCAAGAGCGAAGCAGAACAGGGATTGAGGAGAAGCTTCCTAAACCGCTTAAGACTAGGGCAGGCGGCAGCAGCTGAGTTTCTGCAAGGTCGGGTTCCAGATGAGCCCTTGCCTAGCTCATCTCCAAAGAGTTGATGTACTCTCGAACCCACTTCTTCTCAGGATTGGCACACACCTGGCGGTTCTTTCGGGTAACAAATCTGTGGTAGGGGACAAGTGGAGACCAGTTAGTGCCGGGCCAGCCAGTTTTAGGAATGAGGTGGATTGAGGCATAAAAGGAAATGGCGGTACTGGGGAAGGACATTTTTAGTGCTTCATATGATTTTCTTTTTAAAGGAAGTTTTTTTTTTTCTTTTCTTTCTTTCTTTCTTTCTTTTTTTTTGGTGGAACCGGGGATTGAACTCAGGCCCTTGCGCTTGCCAGGGAAGCGCTTATTCCACTGAGCCATCTCCCCGGCCCCTGACATTTTTTTTTTTTTTCTATTGAATCTAAAGGCTTTAAATGAGAAACAAAATTGTGTGCATCTCAACCTCCACTCAAACACATGCGGCCAGGAATTCAAAGGGGATCTGAAGCCTAACTGCTCAGCATTTTCCTTGCTCCAGGCCCTGTGCCAGGTGCTCAAGATGCAAAGAGAAGGAGCCAGGTATCCGTAATCCCAATACTTGAGCGACTAGGCAAGAGGATGTTGAGTTCAAGGCTAGCCCAAGTTATAGCGAGAATTTTTTGCTTCTGTTTCCAGAAACAAAAAAATGCCACAGAGAAAAGTCATCCTTTAGCAGCTGCTCTGGCTGAGCAAGTGGGTGACAAAAAGTTAAAGGAACATGTGACTTGGCTTTCGACAGTACAGTGCTTCCTGTAGAACAGACACTCAGCACATGAACACGTGAACATAAAAAAAAAAATTACAAATTGGGAGTCATGAGGGTCAGTCAGCTGCTTCTTCCTCTGATGCTGAGACACTGGTTCTCTCTGGGGCAGATCAGGGTGCTGAAGAGCAACAGCGCTGTCATCAGTGCCTGACTTCAGGGTTAGCCCCACCTACTGTGCCTTGTACAATTTGGCCTCTTCTTTAGGCTGTGTTCTATACACATTAATTAATTTATTTATTTTGTGTATTGAGTACAGGGTCTCACTACACAGATGGACTTGTAGTGATCCTCCTGTTTTCAGCCTCCCAAGTGCTGGGATTACAGGCACGTGCCACCATGCCCCGTCTCATTCGCTGCCTCAGCACGCCCCGGGGGCAGGGCCAGCAAGGCAGGCCAGGGATTGAATCCCTGGTCCCTGCATCTAAACAGGCACTTTAACCCGCTGAGTTATCTGGCCAGCCCCATACACATTAATTTTTAATTCAACATTCATTTTTCTTAAATTAGAATATCAGACTATTTTAGAGGTTCTCATGGAAAATAAGCTAGTTATTATACAGCTATCTAGAAGTTTATTTTTAAAATACTATTGAGCTACAAAGTACCACATTATTATATGGCCTAACAAAGGAATTAGATGTCCCTAACAACACAGGGAATTCACAATTCAGTCTTTGTATTTTAATTATGATCATATTTTTAAAAATATCAACTGGATATGGTAGTGCACACCTATAATCCCAGGGAGGCTATATACTTGGGAGGCTGAGGCAGGAGGATTACTGGGAGTTCAAGTTCAGTGGGGGCTACATACTGAGTTCAAGGCCAGTCTGAACTACACAGTGAGAGCCTGACTCAGAAACACCAAAGTAAGTATTTTCTGTACTAGTGTATATGCTGAAATATGTTATGGAATGCTAGGTACTCATCTCCTTTAAATATCTTATTTAAAATAAGACATCTTTTGGCTTGGTACTTTCATTCTTTATGCGTGTAACAGTGTCTGTCAAAGACACTAAGCTTGTGTAGCTGATTCCATGCCTAACAGCATTTAAATAAACTTTTAAAAAGTCACGGTAAAAATAACATACAATATATCCTCTTAACTATTATTTCTTAAGTCTGTCTTACATATTTTTGAGCTTAAATCTTTTCAGGCCAAGTGAAGGCATAGTCTGCCTGGTGAGAATGGAGAT